CTATTTGATATATATATATATATATTCTTACAATTTTTTTTGAAAACTTCAAGAATTAGTTCTAATAAGAACTTAATTAATTCAGATTCATCTTATTCGTAACTCGTATGATTATATGTAACAATTTCAAAATAAATCTTGTTATTTTTAATATATGAAACTAATTCGTTTTGTTATTTGTTATCTATTACATTATTGTTATTATTTTATTTTATTTTTATTTTGGATGTTGTTCAAGTATTTAATGATTATTATTTATCATTACAAGAACAAAAACATAATAAATTTGTATTATACTTATAAAATATGTGGTAGTTTGTATAATTCATAAAAAGTTAGGGAAGGTATTGCGTAGTAAATTTAAATGTATAATGAAGATATTTTGTCAATTTCATACAAGCAGAATTATTTAGGCCAAACTGTAACATGCTTAAAATATTAAAAAAAACAAAGTTTTATATGAAAAATGAAAAGTCAAAGTGATATACTCTATCAATATGCAGACATGATTTAACTTGTTTATTTACCTAACTTCTTTAGGATTTTGTAACATTATTTTCTCGCATAATTAATTATTATTATTATTTTTATTTTGGTGGGTATAATTATTATTCTTTTGAAACCTACATTAGCAAAGTTTGATGTCTCGAAAGGTGATGTCTCTAATTAGACCACTTTTACAAGTGGTGCATAGATGCTGCATCAATAATTACCGTAGATATAATATTAAAATAATGAATGGTTGATATTATCATTTAATGAGTAAGATTTTAGAATTGCAGAGTAGTCATTTTAATTTTTATATTTGTCCGTGTTTTGTAGGTTTAGGGTGTATGATCGTAAAGAAGTGGTGTGTACAAAATGAAAGGTTTTCGTGGTGTTTAGGATTTTTCATCATCAGTAGATTTGCGATCTGGTTACTGTGGTGTTTTGGCAGGACCAGTTCCGATTAGCAGGTGAGCAATTGATTTTGTTTATTTTTGAAACCTAAAGTGTCGCGTACAAAAGGAAGCCCTTTTCGAGGTTTACGTTTTTTGTAACTATTAGTGGTGGAAAATTTGTTTACATGATGATATATAGTTTGAATGTTGATTTTGCATCTAAATGAACCGATGTAAAATGTCCCTCCTGTAGTAGTGAGTATAAACAACATTAGGTATCTTAGCGTGTTAGGTATACAACTTAATTTTATTTCTTGGATTTTACCACTTAAACTAAGAAGTCTAGTATTTTTGTTAAAGTAGAATAACTTGGATATGAGTCTACCAAGACAATAGCTTGCATCACTAAGCCTTCTATGGAATCAACCTACCGACTATCCTCCAAATACTACATCCTTATAATACTCAGTTAGGAACTAAGCTCTTGACCTTATACCTTACTCAGTTAATCACTTCAATTACAATATGGATCGACCACACTTCCATATTGTTCCATATAAATCCTAGAGGGGACAACTTTAAACAACATAACTCTCCTTTAATTTTTAAGTATCTCAACTAGGACATGTATATTTACCACATGCTTAACAGCTTAACAACTTATTCAACTATAACATCATACGACTTTGCAACTTAATCATTTATCATCTTACATCTTAGCAACAAAAACATCACTATACATTATATCAACTAAATGCATAATGAGTTATAATCATACAATGTTCGTCATATAATTCAATCATCATTCTTCATCTTTTAATAAACTTAAAACATCACATTTTATCAAGCAACTCAGTGTCATTCCTTGGGCACCCAACACCATTGAGATAAGAGTCTTTTTGTCTCGCCCACGATCGACACCATTCAACTCGCCCCTGACATGGGTGAGATCAAAGATCCCCTAGACAATCATGTCTGGTGTAGCTATACCCATGCTCGACCCCAATTCAGGTAGAGATGATTTTCTCACCTCATGTCCAGCTTGACCAAGTCAAAGAAATTTCTCTCTTCTTACGCTCGGTGTCACCAATCCTATGTCCAACGTAATGAAATAGAGGGCCCTTGATTTGATCCATGTTAGTGCCATGAAGGCATGCACGCCCAACGTGACGAGAATTTCTACACTTTAGCATAATCTCATTTTGGCTCAATCACTTGAGATTCAAAAGGATACCAACATGAAACATATAATTTTACACATATGCATGATAAACAACACTAATCCAACACAAAACAACACATGCAACCATCAAAATGTAAGAATCACCTAAGTCACTTAAGAATATCATTCAAGAGCACTTTTCAAAAGCATCTCAAATCCAATATTTTCACCAAATCAATATGCAACTTTTGATTCTAGGCGATGAAACAAGAGTTATTCATCAAATGAAATCCAATTCACAAACTTTCCTTACCTCTAGTAGATCCAAAAGAGAAGAGGGGAAGAAGAAGAAGGCTCCTCTGCATAATTTCAACATCGAGAATCCTACTCTAGGAACTAAAATCTCTAAGTCCAGTAGTCAGATCAGCTGCAATGGAAGGTTGAAGGGAGAATTCAAAAAAAGAAGAATGAAGGAGAGTTTTTCAGACTCAAAAGAACTTTTCTCTAGTTTTTCTTAAAACATGAACTTATGAGATTCATTTTAAGAAAAATCTTATATACTCTTCCTTAAGTTAAACCAACATAACTTTAATTCAACTATCTTAGAGACAACTTAACTCTCAACATCTCTAAACCCTCAGAGCTCTAAAGCAACATCAATAAAAACACAATAATATTTTAATCATATATCACATATAATTAAATTAAAACACCTGAAACACACACTGTTACAACATGTAGTTTAGTAATACAAAAAGCTAATATAAGAAGCTCTTCTTATAGTTGATGTGTTATGGATAATTTAGAGTACTTATGTCAATTCATTAAATTTCAATGTTAGTTTTATTGTTTATATTGAATTACTTACTCTAATGCTTCATTTCGTAAATAATATAATTGTTTATCTACCTATAAAAGTTTTATCACTACAACACAAATGGTATTTAGCAACATTTAAAAAATGTTACTTAATTATGTATAAATGTTGCTAATTTATTTTAGCAACATATTATCAAATGTTGTATATAGTCTATGTTGCTAAAGACTTTTAATAACATTTTTGCATAATTAGATAACATTTTTTAAATGTTATCAAAGTAGTATTCTTGTAACATTTTAATGATATATGTTGCCAAGATTTTGATAACTTTATAAAATAATTAATTTTAATTTAAATATTACTACCAATTATTATATTTTTATGTCTCCTAAACTTCTAGCCTTCCTTAAGTTTTTAGGAAAAGACATTTTTAGTTAGTCACCACTAATTATATATAGAATATCAAATTTCATTTATCTTAAGTATAACTATATGAGTATATATACTCTTTATGAGTCATTAATCTATTCGATGTGAGACTTTAATTATGAGTTACAATTAGATATAAGAGAAATATACTTTTTTTTACTCGATGTAGGACTTTGACTTTAGAAGCAATTATAGTAACATTTTTCAAAAAAATATTGTAAAATAACTTATGTAAAAAATTTTTACTCGATATGAGACTTTGATTTTGAAAACAATTAGAAAGAATAATATTGAAATAAAAAATGTTACTCTACTTATAATGACATTTTTTTAAAAAGTGTTACAAAATAATATATTTATTTACTATATAGTAACATTTTAACAAATGTAAACAAGAAAATGTTGCTAAAGGATTAAAATCTAGTAGTGTATTGTTAGCAGGTATATGGTATCATACAAAAGCAAATAAACATTAAAAAAAATAACTATCTCCAAGTTGGCTCTTCCTTCCATTTTAGAATGTCTTCACATCTAAGTTAGTTATAACCTTAACCAACTTAAAATGTGTCATTTCTACATTGATTAAAAACTACATAGAAATAACCACCTAACTATATCGTCCACAATAAAGTCGGTTGCAAAATCAACTTTGTAATCCAAAATAACTTACTTAGAATCCTCCTTTCCCATAGTGTAGTGAGATGTAATTATGCAAAACACTGATTAAGAAAATATTCCTCAATGCATTGAAAATGTGTACAAAAGACATAATAGTCATGAAGAGAAGTATCAAAATACTCTAGCTATGGTAAGACTGTTTCTCATACAGTCTAGGTTTCCTTTCAAATTCTAGGCTCGTGTATATTCTAGATTAGTATATAGCACACTCTTTTACAGTATAGTATAATAAAAGTCTTTCCTATGTTGCTACTTGCTAG